ACATTCTAGAAGGCAAAGCTAAACAAAAAGGAATATAAAATATAGTTAAAGAAATAATAGATTTAAACTCTCCAAACCTGGAAAAGGTAGTGAATGTACAAATCCAGGAAGCTAGTAGTACACCAGACAGCCAAACAAAATGAGGTCAGCACCAATATCATATTGAAAAGTCCAAGAATTCAAGACAAGGAAAAGGATATTTACATTGGTTAGGAGGAAGAAAGAGGTAATTTACAAAGGAATCTAGGTCAGGCTGATATCAGACTTCTCTGAAGAAACACTAGAGACAAGGAAATAATGGAAAGATGTGATCACGAAACTTAAAAAGCAAAAATTACCAAGCAAGGTTCTCTTTTAGGTGAGAGGGAGAAATAAACTGAAAAACTGAAGGAATTTTCAAAAACTACTTTCCCTCCCTGAAATATTTAAAGGAACTTGAGGATCTAGCCAAAAAAGAAAAACACAAAAACTTAATACACAACTACAAAATTAAAGACAAAATGGCATTAACAGACATTCAATTATTAATAATCATTCTAAACGTTCATGGATTAATCACTAGTGAAAAGGCACAGAGAATCTGGCTGGATTATGAATGAATGGATCAAGAAACGAGATACATATCCCAAATGAAATATTAATCAGCAATCAAAAAAAGATTTACGCATGCAAACTTCAGCAACATGTATGAAACTGGAAGGGATTACGCTAAATGAAGTGAGCTAGAAAGAAAAATACAAGATGGTTTCACTTTTATCTGCAGTCTAGAAAAACCAAAGAAACATACATTGTATGACTGACCCTTGAAGAGACTGTAGATCTGAGGCAGTCAGTGTGGGAGGAAGGAGGAGAGTGAGAAGGGATGAGAAAAGCTGGAAGAAGAAATAGAAGGAAAATAGTAAGGTGGGGGACTTTGGGAATTTGGTGATGGGGAAACTATGGTTATCACACCTGAGGGAAGACATTCCATTATGAAAAATAAAAAGGATTTTTAAAAATTGGTGATAGACTCCAACCTTCTGCTGTCCCCAGGAGAACCACTTGAGCTCCAAAGATAAAAACAGGCTCAATGCACAGTGTTAGAAAAACAATCTTAAGTGATTTTCAAAAGAAGGCAGGGGAAAATCATGCTACAAATAGAAACCAAGATTAAGCTCTAATACATGAGAACTAAACAAAACACTACTGAAAGACCAATGGGTCAACAAAAATCCAAAATACCTCATGACAAATGTCAACAAAAACTAAACGTTCCAGAATGTTTAACAGCAAAGTAGCATAAAAAGGGATACAGCAATGCAGACCTTCAAAAAGAAACAAGAAAGACCCCAAATAAGCAACCTTTCCACTCAGCTCAAGGAACTAGAAATAAAAGAATAAAATCAAAATCTAACATAAGCAAGTGATAAAAATTCAAGAACCAATAAATGAAATAGAAGTCAATGACATTCTAAAAAGATCAATAAACCCCAAATATGGCTATTTTTAAAAATAAACAAAATTAACATACTTATAGCTAGGCTCACTATGAAAAAAATGGAGAAAACTCATAAAATAATGAAAGAAGAGAAGTAACAACATTGCAGAAATTCAGAAAACAGATTACTATGAATACTTATATGCAAGCAAGTTCAACAATCAAGAAAAGAATAGAAAGATTCTGAGAATAAAGCAATTATCCAACACTGAATAGGGAAGGAAACCTGAAAAAAAAAAAATCAAAGCAAGGATATTGAAAGAGTAATCACAATTCCCATCCCCCAAAGAAAACCCCAGACCAACACTTCACAAGCAAGTTCTACCAACTTTTTTTTTTTTTTAAGATTTTATTTATTTATTCATACAGAACTGGGGTACAGGCCAGAGATGCAGAGGGTGAGAGGGTTCATCTGAGGCAGAGTAGGGAGCAGAACAGGCAGATCAACAAAGTACACTGCTGAGGGGAGCAGTGGGCTGGTCAGGAGAGGTCTGCCAAGCCATGTGGTCACCTCCAGGGCAGGCAGGGATCAGACTTATGCAGAAGTGGCTTAAGCTTCTTAGTACTGTGCTTTAACCTGCTGCGCCACCAGAAAGGGCCAGTTCTACCAACTTTTAAGATGAACTAACACCTACCCTAATCAAACATTTTAAAAAATTGAGAAAAAGTATTTCCCAACACAATTTATAAGGCCAACATTATGCTAATATCAAAATAAATGAGAAAACACACAGATAACTACAGACCAATTACCCTAATGAACACAGATGCAAAAATCCTCAATAAAATCTTAGCAAACTGAACCCAACAAAGCATTAAAAAGATTATATAGTATGTCCATGTGGAATTTACACCAGGAATACAAGGATTGTTCAAAATCCCAAAATAAATCAGTGTAATTCAAAACAACAATTAAATGAAAACAATATAATCATGCCAATAATTAATAAAAAAGAATTTGATAATGTTCAGCTTCCATTTATGATGAAAACCTAGAGATATATGCAAAATATCTTAACATAATAAAAGCTATATATAACAACCCATAACTAGTATCATACTCAATAGTGAAAACTGTAAGCTTTTCCAAAGATCAGATATAAAACAATACTACTCTCATGACTACTAACAACATAGTATCAGAAGTTCTAGCTAAAGCAATTAGGTACCACAGAGCTATAAAAGCAATTCCTATTGGGGATGAAGAAGTAATGCTATTATTATTTGTAAATAAGAACATAACATACAGAGAAACATTTAAATCTCCAGAAAAATAAAGCCAATAAGCCATTTCAGCAAATTGGCAGGCTATAAAATCAACACAAACACACAAATCAACAGTCTTCTTATATGCAATGTGGTTGAAGAGATAGAAATTACAATCATTGCATTTAAAATCTCTCTCTCACACACACATAAAGCCTGTGAATAAACCTAGCAAAAAAAGTGAATGACGTAAGCAAGGGAAATTGTAAAACACAGTTATAATACATAGAACTCAGGGGCCTCCCTGGTGGTGCAAGGGGTTCAGTCTCAGCACTGTGAAGAGTGCTGTAGTTCAGTCTACAGCCACTGCAGCAAGAGTTCTATCTCCAGCCAGGGAATTAGCCTATATGGTGCATCAAACCTCTCCTGTCTCATCCACTGTTCCCCTCAGCAATTTATTTCAGTTGATCCACCTGTTCTGTTCCCCACTCTGTCTCTGGTGAATCCTCTCACGCTCACACCTCTGCATAAATAAATAAATCTCTTAGAAAAATACAAGACGAGAAGTGTAAAGATGGATTGGAAGAATCAACATTACCAAAACTGCCTTTCTACCTAAAACAATTTATGGGTTCAATGCAATACTAATAAAAATCTCAATAGAATTCTTCAAAGAAATGGAACAAATATTGATGAAATTCATATGGAATCACAGAACAACCAAACAGCTAGTGTGTTCTCGATTAAAAGGGAGTCTACTATAAATTTATCATAAATGCAGCATAACACACAGACCAGTAAAACAGAATAGAGGGCCCATTAATAAAACCACACATATATGGACAACTATACACAGCAAAGGAACAAAGAATAGAAACGAGAACAAGAAAATCTCTTCAATTAAAGGTGCTGGGAAAATTGGACCACATGCAAAAGAATGAAAATAGATCATTATATAACACCATATATGAAAATCTATTCAAAATGGATAAAAGGCATGGCTGTAGCTGCAGAAGATCATATTTAGTGAAATAAACCAGAAAGAAAAGGAAAAATACTGGATGGTTTCACCCATAGCAAGAGTAAAATGACCAGGTGAGAAAATAATAATAATGCACAGCTATATACCAGACATTTTATGAAGGTGGAGCATGGAATGGGATCAAAAACAGTGGGGAGAGGGAAATGCATTGGACTATGATGATGGCACATGGGTGATCTGGGGATGGGAAGACCATGGAGATTACAACTGAGATGGAAAAATGCACAAAATGATGTAAAAATAAACTATTATATTATTTTAAAAAAAAGAGATGAAGTCCTCTATAAGAAGTAAAGAAAAATACCTATCTCCAAAATGAAAACTAATCCTTACAGAATTTTCTAATAGGAGTAACGGATAACATATGAATTGATAACTTAACCTAACCTTTATGAGACTTGGAAAATACAAATATTAAAAACTTATCTTGAATTAATTTCACTGTGCAAAAATGATGATATTGACTTTAATATGAACTTCAAGGGAAATGGTTACAATCAAGTCATTATATATTCCAATATTTGATACTATTTTTAACCAAGTTTGAGATGAGAAAATATTACCTTAAAAATCTTAACAAAGGGGCCCTCCCTGGTGGCGCAGCGGGTTAAAGCACTGCACTGAGAAACTAAAGCCACTTCCGCATGAGTTCGATCCCCACCTGCCCCGGAGGTGACCACATGGCGTGGCAGACCTCTCCTGACCCGCCCGCTGCTCCCCTCAGCAGTGTACTTCATCGATCTGCCTGTTCTGCTTCCCGCTCTGTCTCTGGTGAATCCTCTCACCCTCCGCATCTCTGGCCTGTACCCCAGTTCTGTATGAATAAATATATATAAAAAAAAATCCTAACAAAGGATATGTTAAGTATAATGAAAAGAGAGAAATAAATTGCTTCCTGGGTGTTCTGGCATAAAAAGCCAGGTATAAAGCAACATGACAACAGCTAATGAATATTATAGATAAAATTTACTAAGTAATATTGGTAAAAATAACATGGAGGAAATTCCACCTTGCTAATAATTGTAACTTAATTAATAATAGCAAATAACGCTAACCAAATAGAAGAATCACCTTTGTTCATGTTTATAAAATGCAAATTTCAAAGTATTTCATAAAACCATTAACTATTAAATTCTTTTAATATTTTATATTTATTTTTACTATTAGCACCATTAAATGTAGAAGTCTGATTTGCTTTATAGTATCTCAGACACTTACTTATACACTGAATATATTCTTTCTCCCCCCACATACCCCCAGCTTCGTATAACGTACCTTAGATAGTCTTTTGGAAGATTCACAACTATGATCTACACATGGCTTAGATGCTTTGTCAGTATCTAGAGATGAAACTGAGAATATATAATACATTTTATCATAGGGCTAAAGTACTGTATCACAGCATTTAAATATTTATTTTTTCATTACTAAATTAAGCAATTTTCTAAATATTAAGTCACTTTTTTCAGTTAAACACCTATGCCAGGAAATTTTATGTATAAACAAGGAAACCCGCACTTATACAGTGAAACTAAGAATTAATCAAACTCTCAACAGTTTGATTATTCATCTCATATTTTTAAATGGAATTATTTTAACTTACATAATTATATGTGCCTATAAGTGTGTATACATTCATTCATCACTCATTTGTATACAATACTGTTATGTCTTCTGAATAAATTAAAACAATCTATATAAAGTATAAATCATGATGACAATACTGGAGAAAGTCTGAGATTTTGAAGTTATGTAGAAGCCATGGTAATGAAAAATAATTCATGTATGTATGTATGTATGTATGTATCTATTTATTTAGTAAAGAATTCTCATAAGTCTAATTAAGGCAGGAATTATTTAAGTAGCTTGGGATATGTAAGTGATAAATACTGAAAAAAATCCCTACCATTTGGAAAATATATTTTATTGCAGGAAAAAAGAACAACAATAAGCAATAATCAATACATAAATATACTTTATGATGAGGTGATAATTGTGTTGAAAAGAAAAGATCAGGGAATGGGATCTGAAAATGTGTGATGGTTTCAATTTTTAATTAGATTATAACAATGATATTTGAGCAAAAAATGTAGGTGTTCTAAGAGCTACCCATGAGATTAGAAAGTATAAGGACTCCAAGACAGAATAATATATGTAATGCTAGAAGGACAGAAAGAAGCAAAATCTGACTAGAGAACAGTCAGCAAAAGAAATGAAATAAAATGGTTACATGAGGTATACCGTGTAAACCACTGTAAGACTACACGTTGGTTCATATCCTTAGTGAAAATGAATCCATTCTAAGATTCTTAGAAGTGGAATAACATGAAAGAATAGTATGACAGATTAGACTATTGGTCCTGATTCCCTACTCTCTATGTATTCATATTCTTGCCATCTCATCAATCTGAAAAGATTATCACTGAGTAACTTTAGTATTAACCATGTGACTGCCATTGGCCAGGGAGGAAAGTGAAAGTATGAAATTGTGGGTCTTGGTCTTAATATGCTTCCATTTGCCCTCATGTGTTTCTCTAATCACAATAAACAAAGCTTCCCATTTTCATTCTCCTACCATTTGGCACATATTCCTAGACTGAAAAATACATGGAGCACAGACACCCAAATAAGAAAAGCTTGATCCACAATATGACAGATAATCAATTGAGACCAACCAAGACATGCCTGCGCCCAATAAAATTTACAGATATGTAAAAATAAGTAAGTGACCACTGATTTAACATTGAATGTAATGTTAAATGTGCATTTTCACACTGAAATGAGAAAATTTTAATATTATGAATTTTGTAGTAATCTCACCAAAATATATCAGTAGCTTGCACTAAAATAATAGCAGAGGAGTGGGCGAGATAATTCTACAACATTTTGAAGGTAAGCCAATAAGATTCCTTCAAATATTGGTTACTAGGTATATAAAAATTGAAGATAATTCCAAGATTGTGGCCTTAGAAACCAAAAGTAATAGTAATAGCAACTAGATCACAAAAGATAAAGGTGAAAAATTCAGTGGACAAGTATGGGAGAATGATTAAAGTGTTTACTTTTGCCCAATATTAAAAATTTAGAGACTAGGACAAATCATTTTAGAAATTGAAGTTTTTTGGAATTCTGGAAAATGGTTGTGTATTTGCAGTAAACAAATGAATGTAAAATCAATGAAAATTGAGTAAATACATTATTTAAAGAATGTGCATCAAATCATATCAATTCAATGGGAAAATTGACTTCATAGCTCATAACAAAAAATAATCTACAAAAGTAGCTTCAAAAGTCACTAACAATTACAACATGAAAAACAATAAATACAAAATTTGTGAAAGAATATGATTTCAACAGTACTATATTATAATATTCAAAATATAAAATTTTCAAAAACAAAAACTGTAAGGCATGTAAAAACAAAGAATGAGAGAAGAGCAATGAATCATTTGAAGGAAAAAAATAACAAAACTGACCCCAAGGAAGTAAATATTGGACAAAGTAGTTTTATTTCATTTATTTTCACTTTAATTTTTATGATTTGCTTTCTTCTAGTGGCTGTTGGCTTCATGTATTCTCATTTTCTTAGTTTTATAAAATATAAGGTGAGATTAAGATTTTTATTATTTCTTGACTTAGGACTAACTCATATATAGTTCCCTAACAGTATTAATTTTGCTGTGTCCTATATATTTTGGTAAGTTATATTGGCAAAATTGGAAGAAATACAACACCTAGAGGGCCAAATACATCAAAGAAATTGAAACAAAAGCCCCCCCACCAAAAAAGTCTGCCCCAGTTTCATAACTAAATTCTAAGCCTTCAAAGCTGAATTAATATGTATTCTCATTCTTTCAAAAATTTGAGGAAACAGATTCTATGAGAACAATGTTACTCTTTTACCCAAAGCAGACAAGAACATCAAAATGAAACTCCAAATGAATATCCCCTAAATAAAAATTCTCAATTAAATCTTAACCAACCAAATTTGACAATACATTTAAACAATCACATTAAGACCAGAAAGGATTTATTCAGGAATGCAAGGATCACTCCATATATACAAATAAACCAAAATAAACTACCATAACAACAAATATCAATAGATGCACAGAAATCCAACACAGATTTATGATAAAAAATCTTAAAAGAGAATACAACTGAACATAACAAAGTCATATATTAAAACCCACAGCAAGGGACTTCCCTGTGGCACAACAGGTTAAAGTGCCGCACACTATGAAGCTGTCTGAAGCCACTGCAGCATGAGTTTCCCTTGACCAGGAAAATGACTCACATAAGCATAGCAGACTTCAGACCTGCCTGCTACTCCCCTCAGTAGTGTATGTCAGTAGATCTGTCCGTTTTGCTCCCTACTCTGTCTTTAGTGAATACTGTTAGGCTCCGCACCTCTGGCCTCTACCCCAGTTCTTACATGCATACTAAATAGATCATTAAAAAAATAAAACCACAGCAAGCAAAACATACTAAATGATGAAAAATGAAAAGCTTTTCATATAAGATAATGTATAAGAACAAGGATATACCCACTCACACTGCCACAATTCAAAACAATACTAGAAGTCCTAACTAGAGTAATTAGTCCAGAGTAATTAGCCCAAAAGGAATCCAAACTGGAAAAGTAGTACAATATATTATCAGAGAATAAGATAATAAATATAGAAACTGTAAGGATGCCACTAAAACTTGAGAAGTAAGAAGTAAATGCAGTGAAGTATTACACTACAAATTTAATAAACAAAGTCTGTTGCACTCCTATACAAAAATAATAAGATAGATATGAAGAAAAATAATACCATTTAGAATCAAAATAATTAATTACCTAGGAATAAATTTAACAGGGATGTAACAGACCTGCAACAAAAACAAACAAACTGTAGATATTTTTAAAAGAAAATATGACACAAAGTAGTAGACAGGTATTTGTTTATGCTTTGGAAGAATTAACATTGTTAAAATGGTTATCTCACCCAAAGAAATATGTAAATTCAACAGTCCCTATCAAAGTTCCAATGTAAGTATTCAAAATAATAAAACAAGTATTACATTTTTACAGAACCACAAAAGAGCTCAAATAGAAAAAGTAAATGTGGCAAAAGATAAAAATAGACACAGAGATTAATGAAACAGAATTAACAGCCCAGAAATGAAGCCACACTTAATGGACAGCTAATTTCCAAGAAAGGTGCCAGGCATATACAATGAAGACAGTGAAGTAACTTCTATAAATGGTGCTAGGATAAATGGGCACTGACATGCAAAAGAATGATACATTAAAACGCTAATATATACCATATACAAAAATTAACTTAAAACACTATTTAAAACTCAGATGTAAAACCTGAAACCGTGAAATGCATAGAATAAAACATAGGCAAAGCACACTAATGACTTCAGTGGTGACTTAGGCACAAAAGCAAGAAAACAAAATAAAAAAAAATTTTAAATGTGACTGCACAGCAAAAGAATCATTAAAACCAAAAGGTACTCTATCAAATGGAAGAAAATATTTGCACCTCATATATCTGACAAGGAGCTAATATTCGGGATTTACAAAGAATACATATAGCACTAAAAAAAAAAAAAAAAAGAAGAAAGAAAGAAAGAAAGAAATGATCCAAAAAAGGAAAAAGAGATCAGGGTGAGGGTGGAAGAACAAAAAAGGACTATAATGATGGTGCATGGATGACTTTGGTGGTGGAAATTTTATGGGAATTATACCTGAGAAAAGAAAGAAAATATTACAAATTAACTAATTAATTAAAAATAAACTTGGGCAAAATGATGTAAAAATAAACTTTTTAATAAAAAAAAGTAAAAAAAAAAATAAAAAAATAAACTTGGGGAGAATATAAAAAAGGGGGTAAAAAAATTCAAATAGACATTTCTCCTAAGATAACAAGCAGATGATCAATAGGTACATGAAAAAAAATGTTCATAATTACTTATCAGGGAAATGTAAAACAGAATTACGATGATATACCATCTCACATCCATAATAACATGAATTAATAGAATCAAACAAGTGTTGACAAGTAAACAGAGAAAAATTTACCACTTTTAATACACTTTGGGTGGAAATGTAGACTTGTTCCATTTTTATGGAAAATAATATAAAATAGATCTCTCAGATGATCCCTTAAACACAGTTTCCACCAAAATAATAAATACAAAAGAACTAATTTGAAGGAATACATGCACTCCTATGTTCACTGTAGAACTATTTATAAGTCAAGGTGAGAAAACAACTTAAGTGTCAACAACACTTAAGTGGATAAAGATGATGTTTCATGTATACACAAGAATGAATAAAGATGATGTTGCATGTATA